CAATAAAGTGCTGAAAACTAGCTGATTCATTAACTGGCAAACACAATGTTGTTCGTATTTGTTGTGAGAAAAAAGGCGACCACGTCGTTGTGCAAAACTCTAGGCAAGTGAAAATATCTTGTCGTTTTTTTCGTCTTTATTGTCCTGTTCAGTCGAATGAGTAGACAATAACGGTATAAACTTTGTGGTCTAAGTGGAAACTGGCAAAATCTGTAATTGACATTTGGTATCAATGTGTATGGCAAAAGATAGGATGAGATACAAGCGCTTTGTATATAGTTTTATCAGCCGTTTATGCCAATTTCAGCATTGAAAAGCCGCAAAACACTCGAACTTTGTGTCGACACAAGATTCTGCGGAGAGCCATCGATGCGTCTATTCATTTTGATCTTTGGAAAATGTGCTGCTCTTGCTTTTACAATGTAATCATCATGGATTTCATGCATATTGAATGTACATTGTACAAGTTGATTCAACTTAGTTAGAATACACAACACATGCCATTGCCGATGTCACACAATAAAGCGAACGCACACTAAATCCTTATGTCTTTTTAATTATTCTACTGGTGGAAATCACACGCTTTTCAGCTGTATGTATGCAATTTTAAATGGCGATTTTGTTTTATTCTCTTATGTCACACATTCAATGTGAACAGTGTGGAGGTTGGGCGGGAAAATGGATGTGCATTGAAAAAATAACTGAGTTTATTGATTGATTTAAACTGAATTAAACGCATTGTAAAAATGTGTGCTCCATACAGACTGCTCTCGATGCAGAAAGGGAGAGAAAGGGAAGGAAAAATTGGATATATTGGGCATTCAGTGCCATAATATAAGTCGCATTTGAATTGAATGTGCGCTTCGATTTATGAAAAACATCATCTGCGCCATATATATACACAGACGAAAACACACACACACACATCGGACCGATAGCATCTGTTTTTATTATTTTTATGTGCACAATACGCAATAAGAACCAAATGGCACTCATACGGCAGCTTGAATCACGCGTGCCTGCAAAAAGAACCGAAATATTTATACGTACCGAGTAATTTGAATGATTCGTGAAAGCCAAGACCTCGATATGGTAAAAAAAAGGAACGAACGAAAAAACGCACAGTGAAAATTCTATAAGAATTTTTCAAACGATGATCCGGGAATCGAAAAGGAGCTACACACATAATATGAATGGAATAAAAGTTAATCGTTAAGTCATATAGAAGAGTTTTTCCCGATTATTGCATTTCTATTTTTCTATCTATTTATCTTTGTTTCTTTGGGGCAATGCATATTTGCACAATGTGTATTTGTTGGATGTGCACAAAAAATATTTCCACACACAACGCTGTTAGCATTAATAATTTTCGAAAAACATACAAATTAGGCGAAAGGCAGCAAACGAAACAAATTGCTTTTGCATGCACATGTTGTAATAGCAACACACCACCGCCGCCACCACTACCACCATCGAACGACCGGCTTACACATATTTGTTTGCGCCCTTCTGTAATCGTACGGAGAAAACAATAGAACGAAAGTGAAGACAAAATAAAGAGAGAGAAAGAGAGAAAAAGGCAGAGAGCGGGGGAGGGGAGGGGAAACAAGCAAACCAGGAATGAAATCATAAATAATAGGATCGAAGTGTGTTGTACGCCAAAAAACGTGCCGACTGACGATTGCTGAGAGCAAATGCGACGACACGGCAGATGAAGTGTGCACTTTGACATCGGTTTATTCATATTACAGGTGATGGCAATTAAGCAAGTAAAAAAAAAACACACACACGCGCGCTTATGTATAAATGTAATTTCTTTATCGATATCACCTGTCAAAAAGAAACGGTGAACATTGGTTTCACGTGTCCTGCCACACGATCATATCTTTCAACGAGCATGTATTATATATGTGTAATTGAAACACAAAAAAAAATTAAACTAAATACCTTGAACAAAACGAAAATTGTCTTGAAATTAGATATACAGCAGTGTGCATTCGACAACCAGTGACCTTGAACACAGTATGCTCTTCGATTAAACGAATCACGTATAATGAAATGATCAAATCGATTCAATCATTTCAATTACTCAATCAACGTTTCTTTGAATCGGATGCACCACTCGGCGGTTCCGATGTTTTGATGATACTGACAAAATACAATGTTAACGCAATTAGAAAGGATAGTTTACATTTCCGTATGAGCGTATGCGTATGTGAAACAGTGCAGATGTATGTGAAACAGTGCTGAAGGGAAAAAAAAGAAATTATAAACGAACCGAAAAAAAAGAACAAGGAAATCATGAAACAAACCACATTTCGTAAATAATCTAAAATTAGAGAGTGGAACACAGCTGGTTGCACATGCATATGCAAAGTTTGGATTCATTGAGCGCGTCTTTTTCGACACAGCTACATCAATTGTGTCTCTTTCTGTCATTCGCGCCCGTCAAGCCGTCGTTGTGTGTTCTATTTGAAAAAAAAAAGGGAATAAAACCGGAACCATTTTACACAAATTTTCAGAATGAAACATATTGTTCGACAGAGAGATACGCGAATGAAAACCATCTAATGCGCCGACATTCACACATTTTGATTGGGATCACACTGTTTGTATCGCACATAAATAAATTCCCCACATTTGGTATAAACGATTTCGGTGACGATAATGTACTTATCATGTGCCATTCAACAATCAATTACATGTTATGCACAATTTGTTCTGATTTTTACTTGATTTCAAAATGGCATAAATTCGAAATATATGGACATTTAAATCAACATTTTTGAACAGAATAGATTTTTTTTTAATTTGAATTTTTTTTTTCTAAGTTTCTCAAATCGTGAATGATTTGCGGAAGATAGTTGATTGTTTTATATGTTATCAGTAGCAGATCATGAGCTATCTGGCCAACTGCTACTATTGACAGCTGTAGAACGACAGCTGATGGATGCATAGCATTGCTCTGCCATTGACTGGGTATGTGAGTGAACGAGACGATCTTTATCATAGTTCTAAGATGAGGCATTCTCTTTATCACTCACATACCAAGTCAATGGCAGCGCTGTTGCACTCGTGCCATCAAATGTTGGTTAACAGCTGTCAACAGCAGCAGCTGGCCAGATAGTTCAAACTCAGGTGTGTTTATTATTTGCATCAAAACGCGACCGAAATAGTATCAATAAAAACAATTTGGTTTTTGAAATTTATTAATAGGAATATGGAAGAATTATGTGATAATCATTATGTACTCGTAAATGGTGAAGAACGACTCTTTTGGCACTTTTCAAAGATTGGAAATGGAATATTATTTTTTATCTAAGACTTGATGCTGTAAAATTCTTACTAAAACTAAGAAAATGTAATTCAAAAATAAGAATATGATGTCCTTCTGTCAAGTAATCAAATGAATCATAAAAAAGTCAGTTCGGCAATGCTTTTGATATGGAAAAATTTATGTGGTTCATGCTCTTTTTTTTGCATTGACACACACATATTTTTGCTTTGGACAAAAATTGTTGTCGACAAATGATGTGGTTTTAGACTAAAAAGAAGCACATGTTTCATCAACCTTGATTTGGTTACGAATACAAAACACAAATAACCATAACAAAGCCGTATGTTTTTTTTTTCTGTTTTGTTTATGAAATTGTAATGTATTTATTCACAATGAGTTAGCGATGGTGCGTGTCTGTTTTGATAAAGGTATATGGCATATCGAATGTGTTTAACTGTCAAAATGATTACGCATCGGAAATCGATGTATTTTTGATACATGCAAAACCGAAAACAGCGTGAATATTATGGAATAACCAAAAAAATGTGGCAGCGTTAACAACACAACGATTCATACAAACACCACCTACAGTGCGTATAAATTTGTGAAGAATTGCCATCAATCGATGCACGAAACCACGGAAATGAAGAGAGAAAGAGCAAAAATTATGATAGAATGGTTGAGATTGATTAACGCCGATACCGAATCTGTTATGCGTCTCAGACGCATAGGTAAAAGAGGCGTTATTGGCGTTACTCATAATTATTCTCAACCATTCATATAACACAAATTGAGGTATACTGACGTGTAAACTGCAGTTTTACGAAAATGCAAATCATTAAAATATTTATCCATGAAAGGTGTGTGTGCGATCGCATAGCGTTCAATGAACGACAAAAAAAAACCGAAATACAAAATCATGAGCAGTAAATGGGCAACGAGATGTAAAAACAAGAGTGTGGACTTGGTTGGTGTTGTTGTTTTGGCATATATACATATATTTTTTTTTTCATAAGATATGTCGAAAACACATGCCGAACTGCACACAAAAATTAAACATACTGCTTCTTTCTGATGTCATGTTGGCTTTCCGCTTTTTCAGTTTACTGTCATTCATTCACATGCGACACCAAATATATAAATCTATAATATGCTAGGGTATTCGCTTTCAACGCCAGATCAACGTGTGCATTGGATCTTTTCAAAGAATGTGTGCATCATTTTTGTTGATTATTAAAAAACAAGAAAACAAAATTACGACGGGCCAACACTTTCGATTACAACGAGCAAGAGAGAAGGCGAGATGGAAAGAGAAGAAAAATAGTATTCATAAGACACGAGGTGGCAAAAAAGGATAATCAAATGATATTTATTTTGTGATTGTTTAGTAAAGACTGCATAATGATTTTGTCGAACGCGCGCTTTAGTAAGCGAACGAATGACTGAACGAACGAAAGTATGAGCGAGAAAAATAACATGCTCTAACGTATGCGTGTGCCGTAATACACAGATATACATGTACAAAATATACATACTGAACGAACAGAAGAGAAGAAGAAGAAAAAAACAAACATATTACGGCTTGCTTACTCGCTGTACTGCTGCTGCTGTTGCTACTAGTTTTTCCGTAGTTGTGTGTGCCCATTGCAGTCGGAGAATTGTATCAACGAACACCGTTGGAACAACAGAGCATTTGTGCTCTGTTAGTACACTCTGGAACGTTGAATAGAACACATCAACCATTTTCAAATTATTCGTCGTTATCGTCGCACCGACGAAACTCAATTCGATCGAATTTCAAACGAATATTTACCATTTAATTCTTTTTTTTTTGTTCAAAACTTAAATTAAAAACGAACTACCAAAAAAGAACATTCGCTTTGCTGTGGTTTGAATATAAAATCAAGAAAGAAAAAAAAAGAGAAAGAAACATTTATTTACACAACTTGACTGTAGTGTGTGCTGTTTTTATTTCGTTGTGTTATCATTGTGCAGTTCATTTGGGAAGGTTTAGTTAGTTCCTTTTCTCTGTCTCGAAGTTCGTTTCCTGATGATTGACTGCATTCTGCATTAAAGGCGAACCTCAGAAGAAAAAGTCGAAATAATATCGTATTCGCAAATGTACTGGTTCAGCCAACCCGGAATGTGGATAATATAGGAATTTTTCTTTTGGAGAAGTCCACGTCGAGATATATTTCATTAAATTGTGGTTGAATCGAGTTATTTTTTTTTTCTCACATCGGATTTACAGTTATCGAACGACAACAACATTTCATTTTTTCATATAAGTAAGTACATTTCAGTATTTTATCCATAGCAATTAACCTGCATATGTACTTACAATTAATATTTATAATTTATTTCGAGCCTTTTTGTAAATGAGTACAAGTGAAGCCAATGAATTATTCAATTCGATATTAATTTCTCTAGTTTTCGTTACAAATAATAATTCATTCGAAAATCATGTCAAAATTGACGATTCGATCGAAGAATTTCGATTAGCGAGAATGTTTGCGATGAGAAAGAGAGATGACTCAAAAATTCCAAGGATCTTAAGAATCGATCGAATTTTTACAATAGAATAAATAATCTTTCCATATAGTTATAATTTATTTTGTATGTGTGTTTTTACAAATGTAAAAGGCAATGGAAAATTTTGTGGATATTTTTAGCTGAATTGTTCGATCTTGTTGCTAGGCCATGGGGATTTGAAGAAAGTTCGAATGTGTTTTGTTTGCAACTGGATTGATGTGTATTTTCTCTTTCTCTTTCACTGAATCGTCACAAATTCATTTGAAAAGTTTCGGAGAAATGCAAACGAAAAATTGTGAAATCGATGATGATCCTCAGGACAGTAAAACAATAAGAATATCTTATTTCATGTCCGGTTTCAAGTTTTCCAAATGCAAACCGAAATCAAGATTGCATAAAACCCCCCGTTTCTTCTAATCTCAAACGGAAATAAATGAGCGCATTATTCATTGTAGCTTTTATATTTAACACCTGTGATATCTCGTTCCGGACAGCGAAAAAAAAACCAAGCTATCGAACGATCTATTTGACAACGACAGGCGGAAATGGTTCGGTAAATGAAGCACTTCTTTCCTCTCGTACTCAATTGGTAAAGTATGGGGTAATCGTTGGGTGACTATGTATGTATCGTGGAAAAGTATGCTTGAGAAATGTATGTAAACAAGACGATTTACAGAATATCCAATGCGATTTTTGCTCAGTTACGGCCGGTACATGCGTGCAGATGTGTTTCGATTTACTAGTTACAATCGACCATATTCAATTCCTGAAGAAAAAAAAAACAATCGTTTGAGAGGCATGCCACATTTCAATTTCTAAAATATGCATTTAAGTCTCATAAAATTAGCCAAAAAAGATAGCGAGCGCTATCAATATCGAAAGCGACATGGAGAGAGTTGAAAATATTTAAAAGAATTCGTTTTCCATCCATCTTTCGATATTACCTTTTGGCATGTCGAATGGCCGAAGTGATTTATATCACATTTTCTCATTCCACTGAAGTAAAAGAAAAAAAAATGGTCGTAATCGATGACAATCGAAAGAATGATCGTTCAAAATAGAAACAATAAAAGGAAATGATAAATTTTGACAGAATTGAAAAATGAATAACAAATATTAGAAATAATCGAGAAGACGTAATCATTTTATTATTCCAAAACAAGGACACAAAAAAAGCATGTCAAGTTCTTCGAAAATGTCTGGACCCCCTGGATTGATGTAAGCAGCATGTTAAATATTATTCTGATAATTGAGTAACAGGATTCGATAATTTTTAAAAACAAAAACAGCAAGCTCACATCAGTGGAAGCTCTTTGACATCTCTCTCTCTCTCTCTCTCTCTCTCTCTCTCACACGCACATCAAGTCTTTTAACTTTCCTATCTCCTTTTTGCTGAAATGATGATGGGAGTGATTGATATGGTTGATGAAAATGTGCGTCGGCAAATTGTTCCAAATGTTCTGTTTTACACGCATATTTTGCTGTTTAAATTATTCTCATCGTCAATTGACAGAAAAACGATCGCTTGTACTGTTCACAATTTAGTTTCAATAAGAATATATAATTTTTCTTTGAACCAAAACACTCGTACTCATTTGGCAGTAATCTTCGTTTTAATGTTAAATAAATGATGTAATTGCTTGGCAAACATAAAACTTGGAACCGAATCATTCGTTTGTTTAAATATGATAGTCTGGCAAAGTTTTTTTTCCATTGTCGCTTAAAAAAGAAACCAACAACAAAAAAAAAACTGAAGAAAAGTCAATACAAAATTCAAAATTTATCAATGTAAAAACGCGGTTGCGTCATTGAAATTGGTAATTTAGCAATTACAAATGAAAAAAATAATGATAATAATTTTTATTATCTCTCGCAAAGCGATAATGATGCAGTTTGATGCTTCATCATGTCAAATATTGCGATGTGTATATTAAACAATTTGTCGCATAAATATTGTGCTTGTGCTGTTCAATTTAAGCTTATATGAAAGTTATTAAGTATCTTTAAGTGTGGATTGAATGCGTTCCCAATTAATTCACCATTATTCGTTTTATTTGATAATATTCGCTTTGAGCGAATGATGAAAAAAGAAACCAGAAACTGTAAACATTCACAAAATAAAACAGCACAAACGCAAATATATTTTTTTTTTCATCTGTTTTCTTTTGAAACACTTGTGAATGTGAGATACACATTGATCGAGAGCATGAGTAATTTCCGACACAGGTTGTCGTATAAAGGTGCTTTGCCATGAACACACCGTGTAATCATTATTGGTTCATTTGCAATCTTCACTATGGTTTCTGTTCCAGTTGTGTCATATAGATCTCATGACCCTTTTTTTGCAAACGCTTCGATGACACTTTTTTTTTATTTAACTTCAACAAACAAAACGATTTACACAAAAATAGCACGCATTCAAAAAGCGGCTAACAAAGCACGAAGTTGAACATCTAGCTGATCGATGCTGTTTATCCGCAAGTATATTTATTTTTCTATTGCGCAATATTATTGGCAATACACCACCGAAACACATACACACCCAATAGCATCTTGCAATTAATCAAACATACGGAAGCTAAATTTGACAGCAGAGAGAGAGAGAGAGAGAACATAGTAATTATTATCAATGTAACAACTATTTAATACCGGCTCCTACCTATGTGGCGAGCACATTTTTTGAGTACACCGTTTTTCTTCGCTCGCTAGAAAAAGGAACAGCATGTGGAACAGAAACAAAAACGGCAGCAGCGAACTGAAATTGAGTTAAAAAGATAGAGAGATATAGAGAGCAACGACAGTACCCATACAGGATGGTCAGCTGTATTGAGACAGGTGTATGACACATATAGTGTAATTCATGAATGCAAAGGCAAGTGTGCGACGGCATATGTTTCACAGCCGTATGTATTATTTTTTCTTCTCCTTCTTTTTTTTTATTCTTTCGATCATTCGTTCTGATGCGTATCGTTCATGCGATTACTGCATATTTGCACTTTCTTCATTCTCGTCGTTTTCTCTGTTGCTGTCTCTTCACAATCAGCCGGTTCATGTGACTACTCATCTGCAGATCGTTTGTCTTGCGAAAGCACGAAGATGACAAGTGCTAATCGGTAAACAACATTAGGTTCCACTGATAAAATACCCATGCACAATATTAGTTATTATTACTTAACCAACGTTCCGGTCAAACATGATGCAACGAGACGAGATTTTCGCAATTTCAACAAAATATCAGTATATGTATATTTGATGAAAGTGAAAAACGATAAAAATTATTCGCAACACATGCCCTAATTCATGACACATAACATTCTTTCGGCGTGATTAAAAGCAAATTGTGCCTCAAGTCTCCCATCTCTATACAAACTCATTTTTCACTTTCAAATCACTCGAATCACATTTCTCTCCGTTTTTCTCGACAATGGAACCGCCAGACACCATTTTAATCACCATTTTCATTTTGTAATTAAGTTAGAAAAAAAAGAGAGAGAGACATTTGGTGTACAGCGTGTGCCACATTTTCATTTTGATGAAATTGAATGCAATCGAGTAAATCGATTAACATTTGACGCGCATATCTCTTAGATAAATTACACTGATTTAATTATTCAAGGTTTTTGCGTATTTGACCGATGTACGATTTTATTTGCTGCACACAGATTCGCCTTTTGTCAAATTCTTCGCTTTACTTATTCGCAAATATGTTTTGGTCATTTTTGTACATAAAATGCACACATTTTCTTCTTATTCGGTTGTCGGTTTTGTGATGCCAAATTTAGTTATAATTGAAAATTAAATTACCTACATCATTTTCAATTAGTGCTTCATGTGCTTCCATCATACACTGAATTTATGCATATGCATGCAATTTTCAATAAATTTTACATGAATTTTAATGTGCAAGTTAATATTCAACTATAATTTTCTTATCGAACCGTCAATTTGGCCGAAGTAAAATCGTCATCAAGACAACCTTTTTTTTCTGTTCATTTTATCGAAACTGTTGAAAAAAGGAAAGTATGATAAAAAAGTGTCATTTTTTGCGATTTGTAAATTTAATTTTCTTGAAACATTATTTGTTAATGACATCGACTTCTTGAGTACTCGTTCGGTGTGTGGAGCACGTTATTCACACAAAGAGGTGAACAATTAAAGATTCGATAGAGAGTGAGAGAGAACGAGAGAGAGAGTTCTGCTTTTATGTTGTTCAAAGCGAATTAGGGAATTGCGAAGCGGGACAGGAAGGAATGAAGTTTTTGTCTGCTCATGACAACACATAGTGTAAATTTGAGCAGCTGCTTATGACATTTTGAAAGACCTAGCCACTCCAAAATTTCTTTACATACACACACACACACACATGTTTTCCACATACGCATACCATACCGCGAAAGAGCCCAAGTAAATCCATCAGTTACACCGCATGCAACCCTCCTTCCTTCTCCACATCACTTGTTATGGTCTTTCGATATTGAATTCATATTTATTTATGCAACAACAATAGCAAAACAAAATTAAGGCACATTTGAAGAAGCTTTGCTGCAATCAAATTGAAGTGTGATTCTTACTGTGGAAATGTGAGTAAAAGTAAATATAATGCAATAAGAATTAACAAAAAAAAATCACTTGCAGCAAACATTTGCTTGCTACGTCTAAATATGCCTTTGGGAATTAACTCGAAACTGTCAGTTCCTTAAGGTAATGTACGTTGTTTTCAATGTAATCGGATTTTAGAAAGAACAGTTAAAATGTG